GACTGATAGAATACTTACATACTTTTTTTTGGAAAACATACATATTAGTCATATAAAACACCCAAACTCCGAAACAAATATTTGCAGATCATACAAATATTTGGTCCGACTCGGAAATCGAGCTTGAGACCTCAGCATAACAGTCGCATACGCTACCACTTCACCAACGAGACAGTAAAATTTATTTTTGAAATCGATTTATAAGTTCTAAAACTAAGTACATACAACCGAATTGTTAACCTGTGTTTTTTAAGACAACTCTCGCACTAGGAATGTGTAGTGTGTCGCGAGGGACACATTTGCACATTTTGCACACATTTATGAAATGTATTCAAAGAACAATCCAACTCAGAACAACAATTTGTGGATCACACAAAGTGTTTTTTTTATTTTTAGCCGACTGCGCGGCTGTCGTAGTAGCTTAAGCGATCGCATCACATCTTCCTATTGCTCTGAGCGTTGTAGGTTCGATGTCCACGTGGTAGAGATTGGGAATAATGGCGTTGTTAAAAATATTTTGCCAACCGTGTAAATGATACCTCAATTCAGATTTGTTATACCTTCTCTCAGAAACCGAATGCCAACACAGTACTATTCCTGGCAGTATTATGTCAGTAAATAGATTTAACTGACAGTATGACAGACTTATTGTTTTTAATACCGTATAGGGTTCCGTCCATTTAAGATCCGACGCGTCGCCGTCACAACAGTTGTGACACCAAATTTTTACGCGGTAGCGTCTCTGTCACAACATTTAGAAGAATATATATCAGGGATTCCAAATATGTTTATTTCATTGAATATAATTATAAAATAACGTAGATATTGAGGTAATAATGACTTCGCTCAGCTGTGACTGGGTCATCCGGTCATCCGCGCGCCGCGACGTCCTAAGAGTTAAATGGAAGGCGGCCGATGCAAACATAACACCCTCTGTCTACCACACTCAACTGTCAATAACAGAACAGCTATGTACATCTTCATAAAAAAGCGTAACCGTTTTTGTACGGCAATCCTTGATTATTTTTTAAATCAAATATCCTTTTCTGAAGGACTGATAATTAATTCCTTGTTTAAATGGTACCTTTTTAGGAGCTTTACATAATTTTTACACAGGGTTACCATGAATGAAATAACCTAGATTGGACGTAAAACCGTTTTAAAGTCGCAAAAGATTCAAAAGAATTGTGTGTCACGTGCTGTCTATTTTATCAGAATTATTGCCGAAAAGGGCAGTACATACATGTATGTAATAAGTATATTGATTCACACCATCATCACATCAACAGCCTTTAATAGTCCACTGCTGGACATAGGCCTCTCCTTAGAAAGGAGGTTTTGGCCTACTATACCACGCTGGCCAGACGAGTTGGTATAGGGTTTGTGTCAAGTTTTCCTTCTACCGCAGTGCTGTTTTTCTGCGTAGTTTTCTCCCTTAGTCGGCTCTTACGACACCCACGGGATGAATAGGGGTGGTGACACTCTGTATTCTTAATCGCCACACAACAAAATATATTGATTATTATTGCACTTTTAAACTCTTAAGTTATATCAACTTCTCGTTAAATTTTTTTAAGTTAAATTAAGTTAATTAATTAAGTTGGGACAGTAAATTCTGACGAGAGAGATTTAAAGGTCTTAGCTCATGATAGCCACACGACCAGCACCGCGTCGCCTCGAGCGATTAGTATTCTTTGTATGAAGGTGGAACTATACGTATACGCTCACTACATCTAGTCCTGAAGGCTTCTTCCGCGTGTCGACCACGCTAGGATGGCGAGTGGACCACCCAGTGACCACCCTCTGCTCGTACGATTGCCTTGCGTTGCTGCACATAAAAAAAACCGAAGACGATGGGCCGTTTTAAAATAACGCAATTAAAAAAAATCGTTAAAAGATACTTTTTACTTGTGAAATTATGCATACGTGCGAGAATTAACACACGTTATCGGAATTAACGGCCACAGGCCTGTGACTACGGCCAGTGCAACTTAGTCGAAACGTCAGTACAATTTAAAAATATGTATAATAATAAATTTAAAAAGAAAACTTTTTTAAACTTTGAGTTTAAATGTCTGTATTGTGCTTATAACTTTTAATCTTTAAACAAGACTTAGATACTCTCTTTGAGCAGAACAAATTTTACATCATAAAACTCAAATCAACAACTGATATGTTAAGCCCCGCTTTTTCATTTATGCTATAATCAATTATCTTTCTACAATGAAAGTCAACTTTGAATATATTTCGTATCAATATCAAGATCGTTTAACAATAGTGTTTTCAACTGCAATCAACTCTCGACTCTTTGATATGTTAATATAACATTGAAAATTGCACAAAAGGCTTCAGGCTGAATACATACTATCAAAAGCTAAAATTTATTCTTACACTCGATTTGCAATAAACATCTTAAAAATTATTTTCTAAAAAATCGGATGCAATTAAGAATTGAGATTTTACTCAATTATTACTTCACGGGTTTAAATGCAACTAATTTTATAAATGCAAAAGTTAGTAAACTAATCAAATATTTCCTGGCGTACAAACGTTGGTGATAAAGTATAATTTGGATAATTAAAAATTTGGTTTAAGTTTTGTCGATATAAAAGTGTTCAGCGCCACGCAATAACAACCACGGCGGGGAAATCCTTTCTGAGAACTGTTATGTACATAGACTACTACTCGTACTTCTATAGTTGGCAGAGTAAATTTTAGAATAAGTAAGATTATTTAGTAAATGACGTACAAACAATTACATTGCCATGTACATATTGCCTTATTTTATTTATTCCTTTATTATATAGTACGTGGGGACTTTTTTCTCAAACGAAACACTTTTTTGTATCCACTTTACAAAAAGGCTCTGTCATCATCATCATCATCAACAGCCTTTAACAGTCCACTGCTGGACATAGGCCTCTCCTTAGAAAGGAGGTTTTGGCCTACTATACCACGCTGGCCAGACGGGTTGGTATAGGGTTTGTGTCAAGTTTTCCTTCTCTCTGCAGTGCTGGTGTCCTGCGTGTTTCGCTCCCTTAGTCGCCTCTTACGACACCCACGGGATGAATAGGGGTGGTGACACTCTGTATTCTTAATCCGTCACCACACGGCCACACACCACACACCAAAAGGCTCTGTAGTTTCAGTAAATGAGAATTCAATACATTTTCATACTTTAAAAGTATAAATCTTAACATTATAAACAAAAACTATTAACGAGACGCTCAGGACAAACTTTCCTGTGATATTTTAAAGTTCGAATTTTTTAGATTCTCGAATTTAGTTAGAATTAATTTATTGACGCCGAAACTCTATGTTTTAGTCACAGTAATTTCAACTGAGTCGGTTTAGTAGTCCAGAACAATTTAATTGTCACAGATAGATAGACAGATATAAATGACTAAAGTAATTTTGAAGGCTATTAGATAAGACGAACTCGATAAATATCTCTGACAACTTCTCATTGTCATGATATGGAGATGCTTAGTTTTTTTTGTTTTACGGGAATAATCCCTCCGACACGCCCACCACGGTAACTCATGTACACCTGAATCAACCGCAGTGACCCACAAACACAATGAGCTACGACACTCGGGCACTCCCAGGACAAATTAAACAGTCTTGGAACTAACAACGAAATTAATCAGAAGAAATTTGGAGGAGTTGGAAATATATTAAATCCACTTCCCTTCTGAACAGAGCGTTACAACATGAAGTAAAAATAGACATACACCCTTTAAACAGGGAAGCACCACGGACACAAAACATTATGGGTCCTAAGTGAGCAATATTTGATTGGTCTATTACGTATGGAAGAATCGCCAAACGGCACGAAAATTCATCCTAGTTGACTCGACTCGACTCGACGTTGCTGTCGATTCAGCGGGAGGTTTGCCTTTAGCCTTTAATAGTCCACTGTTGGACATAGGACTTTCCTTAGAAAGGAGGTTTTGGTCTAATATACCACGCTTTACAGACGGGTTGGTATAGGGTATGTGTCAAATTTTCTTTCCCTTTGCAGTGCTGTTGTCCTGCGTAGTTTGCTCACTTAGTCGGCTCTTACGACACCCACGGGATAAATGACACTCCGTATTCTCAATCCAACACCACAAGGACAAAACCACCAACCCATCGAAACCCACCCAATAAAATACTAATGTGAGGATACTCTTAACACGAACATTTAGCTGGAGGGATTGATAAATGTATTTTTATTATTTAAAAAATGAGAAGAAGGAGAGGGAAGCCTTTCCCCTAAAATGGGACAGTAAAGCTTATTTCATATTAAAAAATCATTACAATTTAGGTAAGTACATCATATTTACTCACTAAAATCATTAATTTTGATAATGGTTTTTTGGGGTAAATTGTTTGGAAATTAAGCCCACCTAATCCATTTTATGAGAGTAAAATTATTTCTGTTGTTGTTTTATGAGAGAAGTGGTTGTCTTACATTTTGTTGTGGTACCATCAGTAATTGCGTAATCAATTTAGTTACGAGAATAAAATACTTATATCATAACTATACGTAACAAATATAGATAAATCAGATTTATCTACATTTTCGCCAGCCGTATTATCGATTTTATTTAACATATATTATGTTATATAGTCTACATATTATTCCAGACTATAATATATATCTGTGCCAAATTTCACCCAGATCCGTTAAACCGTTCTGACGTGATTGACTAATAAACAACCATATTCTATCCTCACAGTCTTTTGCATTTAGAACATTAATGAGAAAATTTCAATACTAATTTCTTATTGGCTGTGATTTAGGAGTTTTTGAAACGACAAACGACGAAAATTCTTTGTTACATACACACATAAAAATAAGAACCTAACGAAGAAGAATAAGAAGGAAGGGCTTAAAATCTTTTTTTAAATACTTTTTCTAAAATTATTATTATTATTTTTTTAGTTAAAGTAAATTCTTCTGACATGTGCTGTCATTCAGTAACACGAAAATAAAATTGACTTGCTTTCACAAAATGACAATATCAACGAACCCCACTTGTCGCCGCTTGGGGAGTAACATGCCTCCCTTTGGGGTGTGAGTGGAGAAGGCTTATTACACTGTGAATATAATTTATTAGTGACAAGCATCTGGGCATTATACTGAAAGACAATTTCTTAAGATAAAGCGATGTGTTAATATTAATAATTCGTAACCTAAATATATACGAGTACTTTATTCGTCACAGCTAACTTTTATTTAAATATTTTTTATCTACAATGATAAAAAGGTTGAGTTGGTTCGTGTACGCTTTAAAATTTAGAAAGTAGCTCACCGATTGAGCTCGAATTTGACACGATATACAACCATCTTCAATATATATATAATCTGAATCTTGAAAACGGCGATTGAATTCGGGGGCGATTAATCAATCTAGCTAGGTTTCATTTTTAGAAAATTTACCATAAATAAAAAATCTACAGGTCATCCAGGTACGATGGCTTCAGTACTCAGCAGTATCGAATTGAAATGAAAATTTTAAAAAAGATTTTTTTTGAGACAACAACTAAATTTGTGAAAGACAAAACAATTCGTAAGGAACACATTTTGTTCGGAAACTCTTAAGTTCAAATAGTCATGTCAATTCAAATTATCATGTACTAGCATTTGGCCACGGCTCCGCCCGCGTGTAAGTCGGTTACCGCGTTAAAAAGTAGTCTATGGTTACTCGCTGATAATGCAGATTTCAATTGGTGACAGAATTTTTGAAATCGGTTTAGTGGATTAGGCATGAAAGCATAAAGCTAACAAACACTTTTACATTAATAATGTAAAGCATGGATTATAATTGATATAATAACGAATTATCTGATAAATGAATACCCTAAAGTATGTATTTTCCTCGGATCGATCAAGGGCCATTCTGGCCAAGTTTTCTCTATTTATATATTTATTTAAAACTTAATGCTCAAAATTAACAATATCACTTTAATAAGTACGCTTCAATGTTTCTATGTATGTTCCACATGATAATTGGAACAATTTACTGTATAATTTTTTGGGAAGGAACTAATTCCCAATATACAGCTCACGCTAGTTTGGGATTCATTGATTGCACTTAAATTGTATGCATCTTTTGTTACAATAAAGAATGTATTATTAATACTGTGGCAATGAAGATTTCCCTCCACATACACAAACTGACAATTTCCATCCTCGTTTTTACATAAATAATTAATGTGTTATTAATATTTTGACATTTTTTTCTTGCTATCTGAAGGGACTGGTTGTCTGCAATATCGAAAACGGTAAGTAAATAAATAAAAATATCATTATTGGAACGAATCTTTAAATCTCTATATTTTTAGCTCACATACGTTTATATGACTCCTGCTCTGCTTTAGTATGTATTTCTTAAAGTTATAATTAATATGCATGCTATCAATGTCTGCAAAATAAAGATCCTCCTGAAAACCCCCAAAACATGTGATTTCGAACAAACCCCTCTATATAGAATATTTATGTAGGAATCTACAATAGCTTTGGCTTTTGATATGAGGTACAGGATACATATTATATAGGTAAGCATCGATAGACAGTAATATATGTATATTTCGAAACAAAGCAGACATGTCACGAAATATTAATATTATCATTTATCATTGTGATAACTGTTTTGTTTGTTACAGCTCCCTCCACCTCCTCACATCGAACTGGTGATGGCGATGCCGTACCTCCGCACAGCGTTCAAAAGACCCACTGTCAGAGTCAGACGTGAGTACTTATTTTGTGTTTTACTTTTCTTGTAAGTATCCTAAATGTATTCACAAGCACTACTACGCTCTTTCAAGACTCAGATACTCAAGTTAACTGCACGTTTTCTTTAATTTAATAAAGTTTTTTTATCAACTTTAACTAACTAACTAAAAAACTACTTTAACTAACTAAAAAGGGGTGTACTTTCCTTGGATATATCTTAACTAGATATTATTACTTTTTTATTCTATCATATTAAATTAGTTATTCTATCCTAACTGGCCGGATAATATACTCGGCTATGATTGAATTGGACTCCAAATTGCAAATACAATTACTTTTAAAAACAAAAAACGACCACAGGCAATCAAAAGACAGACAGGACAGACTTAACATTTCTGCACTGTGTAGGTATTTAGATAAACCTGTAAAAATATTCAATAGAGAGTCGTCCTGACGTGTGCCTTATGATTTTATTTTTTTTAAGCTATTGCATAGCTTCTATCGCGGGCCTTGAGCGTGGAGACCGAATCCAGAAATTCCGTAACGAAAATAACCTAACACCCGCCACTCCGACCGGCACAACGATGATACTTTTTAGTTTTACCACCTATCGATGAATAGCAGAAGTTTTAATGACTTTTTTAAAATATCACGCTTGTCTCTTTAGTTCAGCAACTCGCCTCTAGGTGGCATTGGTTGTGACGCGGTATTTACCAGATATTTAGAAGATATCAAGTCTAAAAATTATATTTCTTATTTCAGTTACCATAAACCTATAGTTTCAATGATAAATATTCCTGAATAACCTAAATGTATTGTAAGATAATAAAAATACCTTGAACAATATTAACTTCTCATTTATTTAATGAAAGAAAAAAAAGAAAAAAAAAGTTTTCTTATCGGTCACCACGCTCAAAAAGTGTAACTTGAATTAATATCAAAGAAAAAAAAAACAAAGGAAAAAAAATACTGCATAAATAAAATAAATAAATAATTATAATTGCATAAGTTGATAAAAATGCTATGCAATAGCTTTCGGCAGTCCCCGAGTGCCACACGTCTTTTTTTTCACAGAGTATAGTTTACAAGTCAAAGATCTTGAATATAGTTTATTAATCGTCTTTGCTCGGCAATAAATTACAGGCTTGCTATATTCAAATATATACCGATATATATATAGTTATATTATATTATAGTATATCATACTCCCTCGAAGTAGGTTTAATATTGGTTTGACTTTAATGAGTTGTACTAGGTGACCATTGCTTTCCGTAAAGTTTACTTCTATTACGTAAGCGGAGAGCGTATACAATGCGGTACGTGACTATCACATCAAATCAGTATATTTTTATTCAACATCGAAACCGTACGTTCTGTAGGAACTTGTTTGAAATAGCAACATTGACGTCATATTTTGCTATATTTAATTCCTTATTTAACCGAGTTAAAAGAAGGCAACATATAAACAGTAGGTATATACTAGCTGACCCGCGCAACTTTGTTAACGTCACCCAAAAGGAATATATGGGGTCTACCAATAAGAACGTCCTGGTTTAAAAATTGAATAAAACACACAATTTTTACGAAAAATGCATCTGATTGATTTATTTGATAGATAATTTTATGCAATTTATGTTTGATATAATATATCGGCCAAATGACCTCCGCGGCTCTTTTTGCAGACGGTCACCCGCTCACGCCAATTTTCGATGACGCGGTGCACCATTTCGGCCGGTATGTCGGCTATGGGTCGTCGAATGTTGGTTTTTAGGTCACGAAATGTAGCTGGATTATTGTTGTACACTTTAGATTTAACGTAACCCCAAAGAAAATAGTCTAAAGGTGTTAAATCACACGATCTTGGTGGCCAACTGATCGGTCCATTTCTCGAAATTAACGACTAACCACACTTTCCACGCAATAATTCCATGTTCACTCGAGTAATGTGAGGTGGTGCACCGTCTTGTTGAAAATATTTCCTTCGTCACTTTCAAAGAAGTACGGACCAGTGATTCCACCGCACCGTAAACCGCACCAAACTGTTATTTTTTGAGGATGCAATGGTGATTCATGAACCACACTTGAATTTGACTCACTCCAATAGGGACAATTTTGTTTATTAACAAATCCATTGAGCCAGAAATGGGCCTCATCTGAGAAGATGATTGTACGATGAAAATCGTCATCGGCTTCCATCATTTCCAGTGCATAATCGGCAAATTCAGGACGGATACAATGGTCGGATAGCTTCAATTCTTGTGCTAAAACAATTTTGTATTGGTGTAGGCCCAAATCCAACCGCAAAATACGCCAGGTGGTCATTGGAGAGAGCCCCAACTCTAGTGAACGGCGTTGAACTGATCGATTTGAATTCGCATCAACACTGGCCTGAACGGCTGCGATATTCTCTTCACTACGGGCATTTCTTTGTCTCACAGGCTCAGCAGTATCGTGGAGAGTGAATTCACTATCAAATTTTGTTATTATGCTATTTATAGCGCGCACAGAAGGAGCACTATGACGACCGTTTTTTGCGCGAAGCGCTCTTACTGTAGCGGTAGGAGAACGCGAATTTGCGTAATAATTTTGGACAATTTCCAAGCATTGGTTTAAAGTGAAACGTGCCATGATAAAATGGCAAACCTTACTGAATACAAATGTCAAGAGACGTCAAAGATCCATCATCAAAAATGGCCGCTATGAGCTGTCAAAACCAGGTCATCCCTATTGGTAGACCCAGTATTTTCCAGTTAATGCTCGGCTCTTACTAGTAATGCACGAGCACGAGCTATAAAAGACTAAAAGTATTTCACAAATTCAAACAAAAAGTAGTTTGTGATTAGCGTGCTCAGCCAAACAAACTTCTCAGTTTTAATATATTAGTGTATATTTGGATTGATACTCAGAACTACTGTTTATAAATTTTAAATTTACAAAATGTTTTATAAGCCCACATTTCACAGTCCTCCGTTTGCGAAGTACGGTAAGAAAAGTTTTATTAAAAAAAAATACCATGTTTTCATTTAAATAGGTTTCAATAATAATCCACGCAAATAAAATTCACTGAAATGTGGAATTCCGGAAGGTTGTTGAGTTAGTCACATGTTGTGTCGTGAATAAGCACTAAGCGTGAACACGTGCAACTTGAGAAGAACACGTGTAAAAGAAACACGTTTATTTATTACTTTATAAAAAGTTCTTTCTAACGATAAGTTTCTGCGAAAGAGATGAAATGATTTTAGTTTCATTTTCTACTAGCTTTTGGCCGTGGCTCCGCCCGCGTATATGTCGGTTACCGCGGTAAAAAGTAGTCTATCCTTCCTCAACAATCAACACAACAGACAACACTGCTGACAACAGCACTGCAACTATTTTTTTTACTTTTCAAAACTATATTCAAAACATAAATGGAGTTGTTATGAAATTCAGTGGGGAATTTATATATACCTATAATTTTGATTCATTGTATCCTCTACGATGTCTAATGTCGATCACCACGCGGACGGACCACAGACGAAGTCGCGGGCAAAAACTAGTTACCAAACATGAAAAAAGCAGTAATACTTTAGCTACACGAAAAAATTTTCTAACAACGATCGGCGAAATTCAATTAAAATTGGAAAAACAAAAAGGTATTATTACCTTTAGGGTACCCGTACAACCTTTTAAGGTTTCGGGTTCCATGATATAATGATATTAGAGGTTAAAGTATGAAATTGCCGATTTGCACTGAAAATTTGAAACTCGTTTTTTTCTAAGATGTAACTTATTTATTTAATCAAAATACTTACCCTCATTGTCTATACATTGCTGCCATCTAAACATCATTTATGCCTTTACGATAGAACTCTGGGGATCTCGGTTCGACAACCTGTACTGCCTCCTGGGAAGATATTTTTTTCACATAGAAAATTGTCCAAACCACGAAAAAAATAGTAATGCGTTGGAGCAAGGTCTCGCGACTACGGAGGATGACGTATGGTCCTGCAGCTCCTGTAGAGTTACAACGGTTCCTCGTGCAGTGTAAGGTCTTGCGTTATCATGGAGTAATAATGTTGGAGATCGATTCACGAGTCCAGGATGTTTCACTGACAGTTTCGCCATCATTGTTTGAAATTCAGCACAGTAAACATCTGCTGTAATTGCCTCACCAGACCTAAGAAAGCTATAGTGAATAACACCATGAAGAGACCACCAAACAGTTATAATTACCTTTATATTGGTGAGCTTTGCTTTATGGCACCGCGGCGGCGTTTGACCTGGGGTCAGCTTTTGCATTTTTAATTTACGGTTATCGTAAACAATCCACTTTTCGTCACATGTCACACTTCGATACAATATTCAAGGCAACACTAGTTTTAACACGCATTACTTTCTGCAGGTCAGTCCAATCATGAGGCACCCATTTTACATATTTTTTTATCTTATTGATTTGATGCAGATGAGTCAATATTGTAGTTAGTGTAACGTTAAACTATGCCGCTAAGTCCTGAGTAGTTTGACTCGGATCGGCTGCCACTATCTCCTTCAAGTCAGCATTATTCACCTGTGTGGGCGGTCTACCAGGTGGTTCGTTTTTCAAGTCGATGTTGCCATTACGAAAGCGTTTAAACCAAAAACGCATTATTAGCAGTCTCCTCTCTAAACGCAGCGTGATATTGCTAGCTGTTTCTGCCGCGTTAGTTCCGCTTCGAAACTCTTCTTCAATAATGACTCGGCTTTTCAAAAAGTACCCAGCTTTTACGTCCTGACTGAATAAAAAAAACAATTGAAAGTCAAAAACTAATGTTGCACATTTTTTTAAAAAGAACCTCATAGGTATCATGTGAAAAAAGTTTCATACGAAAATCTCACACCATGGTTTTATGTCAATTCAAAGTATCTATTACTATACAACGGCAATTTCATATATTAACCCCTATTAATATTAGTTTAATAATTAACACAATCAATAGATATTATATACAACGACCAGTGCGACTCAGTCTTAACTTACATTTTAATCCCATTAATTC